GTGAGTCTAACAGTGTTGATTCGCGTGGGTGAGTCTAACAGTGTTGATTCGCGTGGGTGAGTCTAACAGTGTTGATTCGCGTGGGTGAGTCTAACAGTGTTGATTCGCGTGGGTGAGTCTAACAGTGTTGATTCGTGTGAGTGAGTTTAAGTCTGGCAGTGTTGATTCGTGTGAGTTAGTCTAAGTCTGGCAGTGTTGATTGTTGCGGATGACTCTAAGAGTCAGTATTGATTGGTGTGGATGACTCTAAGAGTCAGTGTTGATTGGTGTGGATGACTCTAAGAGTCAGTGTTGATTGGTGTGGATGACTCTAAGAGTCAGTGTTGATTGGTGTGGATTACTCTAAGTCTAATAGTGTTGATTGGGGTGGGATGGGATCACAGATTAAAGCCATGCTATTTCATCGTTTTTATACAGCAAATCATTATAGAATGTATTTTAAAAGCCACATTATAAGAAAGATTCCTTAGATTGGGTCCTTGTACTCATTTGATTTCAATGACACTGACATAGGTCCTTGGTTCAAACTTTTCGTCAGCTCACATAGAGCACACACAGTTGGTCCGGTTGCACATTGTTTGTCAGAAAAAGTTTAATACTTAATATACAGGATATGTCCTTCGTGACGTAACCAGTTAGGTCAGGGGCTCTAAACTTCGGGGTGCGGGGGGGGGGGGTCGTGGGAAACCCAGATAGTGTTGCCACAAAACATTAAAAAAACTACCTTTCTCTAAATAAATCACTTTGATTAGCGGCATCTGTTGTTTTTATTGTCAATTTTGTTTCCACTTTATTTGTCTAGGTGCATTTATAGATATTTATATATTTATTTATTATATATAGATATTTATTTATTATTTATATATATTTATATATTTATTCATTATTTATATATATTTATATATTTATTTATTATTTATCGATATTTATATATTTATTTATTATTTATATATATTTATATATTTATTTATTATGTATAGATATTTATATATTTATTTATTATGTATAGATATTTATTATGTATAGATATTTAGATATTTAGATATTTATATATTATTTATAGATATTTATATATTTTTTTGTTCTCTAAAAAGTTAAAGAAAGAAAGAAAACTACCTTAATTGAATTTTTGTCATATTTATATAAACTCTTACAATACATTTTAATCGATGGGTGGGTGTGGGAAATGTTTTAAAACTGATAGCTGGGAAGATGTGCAGTAAAAAGTTAAGAACCCATGGGTTAAGTTCTTTATATAGATCACTTCATTAAAAAAAAAAATGTTTTCCCCATTAGCTGGACTAACGGACGGAGGCGATGAACAAGGTAAAAATTATCATTTTTGTGTTATCTTTTAATAATGGAATAATATGATTTAGTTGTGTGATAGAATTAGAGATGAACAGTAGGATTTACTATGCCATAATGTTACTGATCATCATCATCATCATGTCCTTTAGTCCTTGGACCGTTGGGGCGCCACAGATGATATGTGAACTATCCTCCTCCATTCGTCTCTGTCTTCTGAACTACGCACAGCATCGCCCAGTGTTAGTCCTGTCCACTCTTGGATGTTATCCTCCCATCTTTTTCTTTGTCTTCCTCTTCTTCTTCCTCCTCTTGTGGTGCCCTGCAATGTCTTTGGCAAGCCCTTGTTTCCTTGTTACGTGGGCGACGTGGCCGTACCATTGTAGTTTGCGTTTTTTCACTGATAGAGCACTATAATTTAGTCTGTAATATTAGCATTTAATACAGTAGTGTTTAGCGCAGCAGCATTTAGTAAAGTAGTGTTTAGTGCAGTAGTGTTTAGTAAAGTAAAATTACGTACAGTAGGGTTTTAGTACAGTAGAATTTAATATATGTGGATTTAGTACAGTAGCATTGAGTAAAGTATCATGTAGTTCAGTAGAATTTAGTACAGTAGGATATACTTTCCATAATCTAAATATCCCCACGGACCCATAAGAAATTGAACCTCCCCATAGTAGCATATCCATGGTAACATGGCCATAGCAAAACATTTATAGCAAAATATCCATAGTAATATGCCCAGAACATTTCCGACACCCCATCTTTATCTGCTTCCCTTAAAAAAAATCAATATAAGTCTAAGTCTTAGTCTAAATTTTAGTCTCCATTTAAGTCGAAGTATAAGTTTATATTGTACTTAGAAAATGAAATAATTATTTTTACTAGACTCAATAAAAGGAATTATCAACAAAACTGTTACAATTTACTGTCGCAACAACTAAGTAAACAACGGTTATTTATTTCAAGGATATTTTAAGTTACCATACATCATCCATGGACAATGATTGTCAAGACTTACATCTACTTCTACAGATAAAAACAGACTAACGTGGCATTTGATAGTCCTCATCGTAGCTGCAATCCTCATGGGTATGGCCTTGGCTGTCTTTATTGCTGGCATTATGTTATTAAAGTAAGTGACTAATTTTGGCTGTCTTCATTGCTGGCATTATGTTATTCAAGGAAGTGACTAATTTTGGCTGTCTTCATTGCTGGCATTATGTTATTCAAGGAAGTGACTTTAGTCTTGGCTGTCTTCATTATTGGAACTATGTTATTCAAGTGGCTAGTCTTGGCTGTCTTCCTTGTTAAAATTATGTTATTAAAGTAAGTGACTAATCTTGGCTGTCTTCATTGCTGGCATTATGTTATTCAAGGAAGTGACTTTAGTCTTGGCTGTCTTCATTATTGGAACTATGTTATTCAAGTGGCTAGTCTTGGCTGTCTTCCTTGTTAGAATTATGTTATTAAAGTAAGTGACTAATCTTGGCTGTCTTTGTTGGGATAATGTTGTTAAAAGTTTTTTTAAAGCGTTTATCATTGCGATTACTTGTCTCAAGTCATAATTATTTATTTACTGAGATAACGCTATTCCAGCCAAAACTATAAGTTGTCTTCATTATATTACTTTAACAGAGTCGAATTTGATGAATACAATTTTTAGCAGTGTTTAATTAGGAATTCAGCGGGGGTTTTTTTTTGGTTTTTTTTGTTTGCCTATGATCTGCCTGGAACTATGCATCAACAATTAGGTTAGGTTTCTATGCAGGCAGCTATGTATCAACAATTAGGTTAGGTTTCTATGCATGCAGCTATGTATCAACAATTAGGTTAGGTTTCTATGCATGCAGCTATGTATCAACAATTAGGTTAGGTTTCTATGCATGCAGCTATGTATCAACAATTAGGTTAGGTTTCTATGCAGGCAGCTATGCATCAACAATTAGGTTAGGTTTCTATGCAGGCAGCTATGTATCAACAATTAGGTTAGGTTTCTATGCAGGCAGCTATGCATCAACAATTAGGTTAGGTTTCTATGCAGGCAGCTATGCATCAACAATTAGGTTAGGTTTCTATGCAGGCAGCTATGCATCAACAATTAGGTTAGGTTTCTATGCATGCAGCTATGTATCAACAATTAGAGTAGGTTTCTATGCATGCAGCTATGTATCAACAATTAGGTTAGGTTTCTATGCATGCAGCTATGTATCAACAAATAGATTAGGTTTCTATGCATGCAGCTATGTATCAACAATTAGGTTAGGTTTCTATGCATGCAGCTATGTATCAACAATTAGATTAGGTTTCTATGCATGCAGCTATGCATCAACAATTAAGTGAGGTTAGATTAGGTTTCTATGCATGCAGCTATGTATCAACAATTAGGTTAGGTTTCTATGCATGCAGCTATGTATCAACAATTAGATTAGGTTTCTATGCATGCAGCTATGCATCAACAATTAAGTGAGGTTTCTATGCATGCAGCTATGTATCAATAATTAGGTTAGGTTTCTATGCATGCAGCTATGTATCAACAATTAGGTGAGGTTTCTATGCATGCAGCTATGTATTAACAATTAGATTAGGTAACTAAGTTTTCCTATTTAGTGTTTCATAATTGGGAATATTGAAAATATTATTTTTAGAACAATAATTTCATGACAATTAAATGATTCGATATATTATTTTTTTTTTTTAAAATGGCACACAATTTTTTTACCGGCAGAGCTTTTTAATAACACCCCCCTCCCACCCCAACCCACCACGTTTTAATTTTAAACTACAAAAATGTTGTGGAAAAAATAAAAAGGTTAAAGGGAATTAACTCAGTATATACTAGCATCAAATTTGACGTTATGACTAATGCATAATTATTTCCCGTCGACTAGACAGTTCTGTGGTATTGATATATTGAGATAACGTATTTGGATAGTAAGATTAAGAAATTGATATTATAGTGAGATATTAACATAGTGAGAGATCTCGAGATATTTTTGAGATAGTGAGATATCAGTGAGCTATTGAGGAATTATTGAGATATTTAGATATTGAGATATAATCTTACAAGCATTAAAATCTAATATCTGTTCAAAGTTGCGACACATTTTATTTATAAACGTTAGCACATGATATTCTGATTGAAATGCAATTAAATAATGTCTTGTTCCAATGTTGCCATTATTGTTCCAAAGTTTCCTTTAGTGTTCCAATGTTGCCATTATTGTTCCAAAGTTTCCTTTAGTGTTCCAATGTTGCCATTATTGTTCCAAAGTTTCCTTTAGTGTTCCAATGTTGCCATTATTGTTCCAAAGTTTCCTTTAGTGTTCCAATGTTGCCATTATTGTTCCAAAGTTTCCTTTAGTGTTCCAATGTTGCCATTATTGTTCCAAAGTTTCCTTTAGTGTTCCAATGTTGCCATTATTGTTCCAAAGTTTTGTTCCAAAGTTTCCTTTAGTGTTCCAATCTTTCCTTAAATTGCACCCCTACCAATATTTCCCTTCATTATTCAACCATTTCCCTTTTTTAATGTCTCCCTCTGTTGTACGGTATTTAAAAATTTAAAATTTGCCAAAAAATTAGGTTTGTTTTAACTCTAAACTATTCAAACAAATTGTTTTCAAAAACAAAACGTTATCTAAGACAATAATTTTGTTGGGCTAAATTTCTCAACTTTATTAAATTCACTTTATGCTCAGCCGATCCAGACCAGCCAAGAAAGAAGCTGACATGGAACAGGTGAAGCCGCAAGACACGTACGAAGACATAGCAGAGGGCGAAGGCGGAAGGTTCCTCGTGTCGGGGAAAATAGAGAAGGATCCACCAAGCAAGGGCTCCAACTACAGAAGACTCACTGAGGCCAGCCACACGACTGAGTTGTCCTCGACCCTCTCCTTTGACGACCGGGCCTCCGGCGTGTCCACGAGAGCCAATGGTCGAACCCCAAGTCCGTCGCGATCACCGGATCTCGGTCGACCAGCCCATGGTAAGACGTCCTTAACGGGACAAGTCCTCGGGTTCCAGATGTCGACCAGCACGAACAATTCCGAAGGTGAAAATTACTATTCTGTAGAGAATGAGGATTACGAGTGTATCCCGGAACCGAGTTTAAAACAGCCCGCGCTGAGGCCCGGGATTAAAGTCGCCACGCCGTTCGTCCTGGCCATGAACTCCGGGGAATGCTTACGTAAACTTAAACCCGTAGACCGAGACGCTGAAAGGGGTCAAAACCGGGCGATAACTTCGGCGAAAGCTCCTATCCCGACCCTGAGACATTTTTCCGTGGACAACGGCGGCACGTACATGGGCCTTAACCGAACAGGGAGGGCGCATTCAACCGATCTCACGCAATCTGAAAATTACAACGACCTCAGTTCTCTGGGAATGGGCAGTGATAAGAACGTGTGTAAGACCGCCGACGTGCTCACACAAGACAGTCATGATTCCGCATTCGCTTTTGTTAAAGATTTGAAAGCCGACCGCCGTGCCGACGATGCAGCGTACAGCGTGTCATACGAACACGGCAAAGTTTTTGAAGTGAGCGCCGGCGAAAAAAAAAGCAGTGACGAGACCGAGGAAGAGCATATTTACGAGGCGTACGACCACGGCCCACATCTGACGAGAGGATCCAGCTGTCTGGCAAAGTCCAACGCGCACAGCAGTGAGCACGGCGGCGGCATCTACGAACTGGCAAAGTTGGTCAACGACCCGCTACAACAAGACTTGGTCATCATTGACGTCAGGTCGTCAAAAAATTCAAATATCGATGAGGAGGCTGGAGCTCCAGATCAATGCCCACCGGACAACCCGGCATCTCCGACAGAGACAAAGACCTCTGAGAAGCTGACGGAAGGGCTACCTATGAGGGGTTTAGCTTTAACAACTGGAGAATTGAATTCTCCCATCTCTCAACTTACGGACGAAATCCCCAAAGATCCGTATGGAAGCTCAAGCAAGGGAGCCAGAGACTTCATCGGGATATTAGCTGACAACACGATGAAGTCAACCAATATTCCGGAGAAGTCGATATCTTCCCTAGAGAAGTCAACCAACACCCGGGAGACGTCGACATATTCCCCAAAGAAGTCGATAGATTCCCCAGGAAAGTTATTAGATTCCCCAGAGAAGCAAACCAATAGCCCAGAGAAGTCGATTGCAACTGTTGGAAAAACCAGCAATGTTGAGGACATATCAAACAACCCTTATAGTGAGGTAACACTTCTGACAAATAAATCAAACAACCTCCGAGAGAAATCTATGGACACATCAGAGAAATCTGATATCACATCAGCAACTTCAAATGGCACATTAGAGACCTTCATTGAAACAGGGAAATTCATGGACACATCACAGAAGCCCAATGACATACTAGAGAAGTCTTTTGACACATCCGAGAAGTCTGTTGACACATTCGGCAAGTTGTATACACAAGGAATCTCCCCAGTTCTTACTGATGTTGAGAGTATAATTGAAACACGTGACCTGCATGCCGTCAACAACCTAGCGGAACCTGGAGAAACTCAATCACAAACAGAAGTAAAGTCAAACACTTCCCTCCAAGTTTCAGCCGGAACGCTGGTAGATCACACAGCAGACGTAGTCAGAAGTTCGGGAATCTCCGGTTCTCACGTCCCGCTTCTCACCGACGAGACCATCACCGGCGATGAACCCCAAGATCAAAATAAAGTTCATCGAACTCAGATGGCGGGTGAAACCCAAGATCAGTTGGAGATTCAGGCGGCATCACCAGATGACATGGCCGAGACGACTCCTGATGTCCAGACACATCCAACACGATTTAGAGTGGCCAGTGGTGATTTTTCATCCCATACGTATACACTCTTGGAGCCGTTCGATAGCGACGACAGTGCGACCTAAGAGATGATGTGAACGTGTAGTGAGCGTTTGATGAACCTTGACAATGGCGAGAAATACTTTAAACCAATGGAAAGTTGCTGTAAGCATTGGAGCTGGCGTTGGCAAATGATGGTATCACTCGTGGTCAAAGTCGACCTACCGGCCGCTGTATGAGAGCTAATAAGAGATGTTACATTTAAATGTCAGCGTGCATGACCTACCGGCCGCTGTATGAGAGCTAATAAGAGATGTTACATTTAAATGTCAGCGTGCATGACCTACCGGCCGCTGTATGAGAGCTAATAAGAGATGTTACATTTAAATGTCAGAGTGCATGACCTACCGGCCGCTGTATGAGAGCTAATAAGAGATGTTACATTTAAATGTCAGAGTGCATGACCTACCGGCCGCTGTATGAGAGCTAATAAGAGATGTTACATTTAAATGTCAGAGTGCATGACCTACCGGCCGCTGTATGGGAGCTAATAAGAGATGTTACATTTAAATGTCAGAGTACATGGTTTCTTGGAGTCGTATGCACCGTTCCATTAGCTTTATATTGACATGCTGCTTGTTGCGTTAATGACATGATTCACACAGATGTCATAGACACCGCTTTCACTAATAGGCGATAAAACAAATGAGTAGATACCTTTATTCATGCATTAAGTTTATATATATATATATATATATACATATATATATATATATATATTTCTTTGTGATACTTTGATGACTATTTAACATGAGTTTAATGTGTAATTTATTTAAGAAATAATTTAAAATGATTCATTGTCTTGAATTGTGTGGTTTTGTATATTATAACTCTTATTTCTGTAAGTTGTGTCTACTCTAAGTCTGATTTCTGTAAGATGTGTCAAGTCTAACTCTGATTTCTGTATGATCTGTCTAGTCTAACTCTGATTTCTCTATGATGTGTCTAGTCTAACTCTGATTTCTGTATGATCTGTCTAGTCTAACTCTGATTTCTGTATGATCTGTCTAATCTAACTCTGATTTCTTTATGTCCAACTGTGATGTGTGTGTTTACAAAAATTATACCTACAATTGGGCATTTTATGAAATACAATTTTTACTCTGCTATTGAGATGACATCTACTTTAAACATATGGCGTGACAATGTAGTGTCAGATACATGTAGACCGTTTGTGTCATTCAAACACATGATCTGGAGCAATGATAGGACATATGGAGAATCATGTTATTCCGTGCCACTGATACCATGTAACACCCTCGTTACGTCGTTATGGATCCCCCAATCTCAGAAATTCTCGTTATAGATATTAGTATTGGCGAGAAATGCAAAACCATTAGTATGTCTTTAGTTGCAAACATTTTGCTGTATGTCTTGACCATGAGTAGACATTCTCGAATATTTTATATTTCAATGACTTCGTTTCAAATGGCTTGATTTTATCTTACACGTTAAATCATCTCACTATCATTCCACACACAGAAAGCTTTTCATCAATAAATTTGTGAAACACATTTTTTGATCAGACTGGTTATGGAATGATTGTCTTGCTGTGCTAATATCGGTATAACGTAGGGGTCCCACATCCGGTGTGACGTAAGAATGTTCCTCTGGTCACTGACCTGTGAACTCCAACTCACCCTTTACTTACAGAACATACAACAACAGAAATTGAGTGGATATTACCGGTCGAAATACAACTTCACCTTATAAGTGCATTAGGTGTAGATATAAATGTTAGAATAACATAGTCAGCCTATAAGTGCATTAGGTGTAGATATAACTGTTAGAATAATATAATCATTGTTAAAGCATTGGGTGTAGATATTACTTTTAGAATAACATCCTAACAAATTGTTTCCATGGATGATTTAAAGTGGCGCCAAGAAAATGACAACTGATAAGGACTCCCTGGAGTTTTGAAGTTCGGAAAATTTCATAACATGTTACAGCAAATGTGTGGTTAAAATCAAAATAAATATACCTTGAGTTATGGTGTTTGAATATGTCCTAAAATGTACATTAAATGGGTGGCTAACATCAAATGGGTGGTTAACACGTTAAATGCACATCAAATGGGAGGCTAATATCAAATGTGTGACTAACATCAAATGTGTGGCTAACATCTAATGGGTGGCTAACATCAAATGTGTGGCTAACATCAAATGGGTGGCTAACATCAAATGTGTGGCTAACATCAAATGTGTGGCTAACATCAAATGTGTGGCTAACACGTTAAATGCACATCAAATGGGAGGCTAACATCAAATGGGTGGCTATCACGTTAAATGCACATCAAATGGGAGGCTAACATCAAATGGGTGGATAACATCAAATGGGTGGCTAACACGTTAAATGCACATCAAATGTGTGGCTAACATCAAATGTGTGGCTAACATCAAATGTGTGGCTAACATCAAATGTGTGGCTAACATCAAATGGGTGGCTAACATCAAATGTGTGGCTAACATCAAATGTGTGGCTAACATCAAATGGGTGGCTAACATCAAATGTGTGGCTAACATCAAATTTGAGGCTAACATCAAATGGGTGGCTAACATCAAATGTGTGGCTAACATCAAATGGGTGGCTAACATCAAATGGGTGGCTAACACGTTAAATGCACATCAAATGTGTGGCTAACATCAAATGTGTGGCTAACATCAAATGTGTGGCTAACATCAAATGTGTGGCTAACATCAAATGGGAGGCTAACATCAAATGGGTGGATAACATCAAATGGGTGGCTAACATCAAATGGGTGGCTAACACGTTAAATGCACATCAAATGGGAGGCTAACATCAAATGGGTGGATAACATCAAATGGGTGGCTAACATCAAATGGGTGGCTAACACGTTAAATGCACATCAAATTGGTGGCTAACATCAAATGGGTTACTATCACGTTAAATGCACATCAAATGGGAGGCTAACATCAAATGGGTGGCTAACATCAAATGGGTAGCTAACACGTTAAATGCACATCAAATGTGTGGCTAACATCAAATTGGTGGCTAACATCAAATGTGTGGCTAACATCAAATGTGTGGCTAACATCAAATGTGTGGCTAACATCAAATGGGTGGCTAACACGTTAAATGCACATCAAATGGGAGGCTAACATCAAATGGGTGGCTAACATCAATTGGGTGGCTAACATCAATTGGGTGGCTAACATCAATTGGGTGGCTAACATCAAATGGGTGGCTAACATCCAATGGGTGGCTAACATCAAATGGGTGGCTAACATCCAATGGGTGGCTAACATCAAATGGGTGGCTAACATCAAATGGGTGGC